TCCCACAATCAGGACATTCAAAGGGTTTCTCTCCTGTGTGAGTCCTCTGGTGTGTCACCAGGCTGGAACTCAGACTAAAACTTTTCCCACAATCAGGACATTCAAAGGGTTTCTCTCCTGTGTGAGTCCTCTGGTGTGTCACCAGATTAAAATTATTACTAAAGTTTTTCCCACAGGTAGGACATTCAAAGGGTTTCTCTCCTGCATGAGTCCTCTGGTGTATCACCAGATGGGAATTCCAACTGAAACGTTTCCCACAGTCAGGACATTCAAATGGTTTCTCTCTTGTGTGTGTCTTCTGGTGTTTCACCAGGCTGGAATCATCAATAAAGCTTTTCCCACAATCAGGACATTCAAAAGCTTTCCCTCCTGTGTGCGTGGTCTTGTGTAGGTGGGAATTTCTAATGAAACTTTTCCCACAATCTCCACACTTATAAGATTTCTCCATGTAGTGAATGCTCTGATGTATTATCACGTGGGAATTACGATTGAAACTTCTCCCACAGTCAAGACATTGAATGGGTTTTTCTCCTTTATGGTTTCCATGGTGTTTCACAAATTGGAATCATAACTGCAAGTTTTCCAACAATCAGGACATTCAAAGGATTTCACTTTTGTGGGATCCTCAGGGGCTTCACTAGGGTGTAATTCTCACTGAAACCTTTCCCACAGAAAGGATGTTCAAATGGTTTTATTCTTTTGTATGCATCATTCAGTGTCTCAAGACCTGGGAATTTCTAATGAAACTTTCACACAATCTGCAGTCACATGTTTTCTCCCTCCTGTGAATTATCTCATGTAACACCATGTTGCCATGCTCACTATAGCATTTACTGCACTTTTGTGGCTTCCTTCTTATGTAGAGATGCTTCCATGAACCACAAGGGAGCTGTTTTTGCCACATCCAGGTAATTTGTATGGATTTTCTCCTTTTTGGCTCCTCTTGTGTATAATCAGTTGTGATTCGCAATCTGTGCTTCTTCCACAACAGGCAAATCTATGGAGCTTTTCCACAGCTGATATTCTTGAGGAGGTGAAAAATATGGACAATGCCTTGTTTAAGGGTGCTTTCATTCAAGCTGTCTTCTTCCTCACAGGGAAAGGCCTGTCTGTTCTACGTGGCTTTACTATTGATCTTTTCCTCCCAACAGACTTCCAGATATTTATTCCCTCTTTTGCTGAATTATAAACAATCTCCCTTCACCTCTCATGTAATGTATCCTTGAGTTCTGCACAATCTGCTTATTCTTTCTTGATTTTCTCTCTTTTGTCAAACAGCTGCTGGAGAAGGAGGAACAGATTTGTAAGGTTTTCTGCAGGAAATGGAAAATATTTTGATTTTTGGCTTGATTTTCTTCCCTTTTCAACACTGATTGTTATTTACAGTTGTCCCGAGTGCTATTATTGCCATCCTGTTCATCTGTAAGATGCAAAGAAAAATGTAACTTTAATTGTTTGTAAAACGATTAGAGATGAGGTAGAAAAAAAAAGAAAAGTATACACCACTTTTGCTCATGTACATCCTCAGCTGCAAATAAGGGCTGAAAATACTGTCTACAACTCCTCTGGTGACATAATTGTTCAAATAGTCCTCACATAACCTACCGCAATTGGAACTGATATTTGCGTTACTAAGCAGCTCAATCATTAAGCATCATGTCACATGACAGTGCCAATTTACATCTGTTCCTCTGTAGTTGTTAAGCTAATTACTGTGGGTTGTTAAAGGCAATTTCATATGACTGTGACTTGCAATTTCCTGCCAGTATATCAGAGGTGGGTTTCAGGGGGCATGGTCTGGTTCACAAGAACCGGATCAAGAAATCCGACGTGTATTTGTGTACCGGGTCCTCCAGAGGCCGCGTACCGGAACGCTCGCTCAGCTGGCCTGCCCCCCTCATGCTCTCCCCCCGCCCGCCCAGCTGCCTCCCTCCCTCTCTCTCTCTCTCTCTCTCCCTACCTGTCCGCACCATGTTTGATCCGCCCACCCACTTTCTTTGCCAGCCCAGCTGGTGGGGCTGCAGCCAGGCCGGCTGAAGGAGCATCTGTCGCGAGCAGTAAGTGAAGCGAGTGCCAGTCAGCATTCCTGCCTGAAAGCAAAAAGTCTTTGGAAGCTGCGGCTGCCCCCTCCCCCTCCCTCTTGCAGAAACTTCTCTTGATGCACAATTGGGACCGCCCCATCTTTCCTGACTTTCAACTTCTCTTGTCGAATTATCTTCTCCTGCTCCCCCTCCCCCCTGCACGGTCTCAGTTGCTGCTTGGAGTGGGGGGGGGGAGATTTCTGGTTTTGCAGGGCTGAGAGGAAAAGGGGAAGGAGGAACAGGCCCTCCAAGGCTGCCCTCCCTTGGAGTTTTTGCAACCAAATTCTCTCCCCCCCAAAAAAGAGGACCCCTCCACCCAAATACTGCAGGGCACAGCAGGCTGGCCCCATAACTGGGCAACATGTGGAGAGGCTGCAGCAGCTGCGCTTTGAATGGAGGAGAGAGAGAAAAGTTGTGATTCTCCCTACTGCAGCCTTTAAATGGCAGAGAGAAGCCGAACTTTTTCCCCTCCATTCACAGAGGAGCTTCTGCTCCCTTTATGCCCCCCTGACCCCCCTCCCTCCCGGGGGTCGAAACACCTGAAAAGGACAGGCAGGCTGCCACAGCTCCACTGAGAAGGCTTTTCTGAGAGGAGAAAGTGCTCCAGTCCGGCTGCACCCGAGCTGGTGGAGCACCCGTGCGATCGCAGCAACCGCGTGGCTCACCTGCACTGGCTGTCCCCTTGGTGACGGGTGGGCGACCAACTTGCAGGTCCGGAGGAGAAGGCGTGTCTCCGTTTCCACCCGCCAGGTGATGGCAAGCATTTAATACTACTTGTAATATTTACAATATAAAATCCTAACCATAACAATATGATTATTCAAAGCCAAAGTATTAAGACTTTTGCTGAAAGGCACATAATACACTGATAGGAAATGAGAGGGGAGGGAGGGAGGGAGGGAGGGAAGGAAGGAAGGAAGGAAGGAATGCACACACGCCTATTCAGGAGGTGGTGGGAAGATTTTAAGAACTTTGGAGTTAATCCAGTATAAGAGAAAGGGAGAGAGGGAGGAGAGTGTGTGCATGCAAACAGGCCTATTTGGGCGGTGGTGGGGAAATTTTATAAGCTTCCGGAGTGAATCCCTTCCCAATTATTTGTCTCCAAAGGTTTGTACACAAGTGCCTGGGTCCATCCACTGCTTCCATTCACTTCCTCCCCCCTCTCCCCTTTCCTCACTGCTTTGATCAAATCAACAGGAGAATCGCTGGGGCTTTGACAAGGAAGAAGTGGGTTTGTGCCAGTGGTGGATTTTTAGGGGAACTGAGCGTGAGAACCCAAAGTCCAGCTGCTCCCTCCCCCCCCCATATTAAAGAGGAAGGAAGGAAGGAAATGAAGGAGCTGGAAATGAGATGGAAGGAAGGAGAGTGGAGGGAGGTGGAAGGAAGAAAGAATTGCATATGGCCCCAAATAATTTTTAGGAAGTGGGGAGGGAGAAGGGAAATATTCTAATGCATTATTACTAGTATGTTTATTAAGAAGATACATTCAAATATTAAGAACCGAACACCTTTCTTTTCTTTCCTTCGTTCCTTCCTACCTTCTTTCTTTCTTCCTTCTTACCTTCTTCCTTCCTTCCTTCCTTCCTTTCTCTACTATATTGTTTTGCTCATTTCCATATCCTTAAAAAAAAAACCTAAATTATCTAAATGGGATCATTTATAGTCAAGTTAACAAATCTGAGCTAAAGCTTTTGTCATGGAGTACAATCAGTTTTGAAGAAGAGTTCTAGAAGTCCTTTAGATGTGATTCCTAAAATGTGTGTGTGTGAGAGAGAGAGAGGAAAGAAAGAAAGGAAGAAAGAGAATGGAAGAAAAAAAGGAAGAAAAAAAGGAAGGAGAAAGGAAGAAGGAGGAAGAGAGAGAGAGAGAGAGAGAGAAAGGAGAGGAAGGTTGGACTGCTACCCTGGCACTAGACATGGCTTTAGAAAATGTTTTGAAACAGCACAGCAATCTAGTGCTGGAAGGGATCTTGGAGGTCCTCTAGTCCAACCCCCTGCCCCAGCAGGGAATCTTATATCATCTGGATTATTTTGGTGCCTCTAACAGAAAGGAAAATTGCCAGAAAGGAGAAGAAGTTTACTAGGACAAAGCTGCCGTGCAGAGGAAGGCAGAGATAGTCCTTGATTTATGACCACAACTGAGTCCAAAATTTTGTTTGCTAAGCAAGAGTGTTGTTAAGTGAATTTCACCACATTTTCCAAGTTGGCCATGCCCACGCGGTCACACAATCACCAAGCCACTCCTACCTGGTCACATGACCACCGAGCTACTCTCACAAAACAGGCCACACCTACAGAATAGGTTCTAAAATTTTTTGAAACCCACCACTGCAGTATATACACTGATCTAACTTGTCAGAAGCTAGCTGGGAAGGTCACAAATCGGGATCATGAGTGTGGGATGCCGCCGCTATCATAAATGTGCAACTCTTGGCAGAACCCAAGTTGGTGCAACTCCTTTTCCTGCACCTTCAAAACCACAATCACTGCTGACATGTGATCACAGAACATAAATTTTGTGGACCAGGTGCACATCTGCTTCTACTGTGCCATAGTAACTTTGAAGGCTCAGGGAAGAAGTGGTAAGTGAGGACTACTTGTGCAACAAAGATGCCAATAGCTATTTTTTAGAAAGTGCTGGATTAACCACAATTGAACCTGGTTAATACATGGATGGGGCAGGAAATACGATACTTATTGGCAAGACATGGAAGTATAAAAACTTGTAAATTTTATTCTTCTGTCATTTTCAATATACGTATGGATTACAAACTGTATTAAGAGGGCAACCTCAAGATATAATGGGTGACTTTAACTACCCTGATATTAACTGGGAGACAAAGTCTACAGCAAGTAGGAGATTGAACAGATTCCTTAGCTGACAACTTTGTCATCCAAAAGGTAGAGGAGGGAACTAGAAGAAAAACTATATCAACCTAATTCTTACTAATAGAGGAGTGATAGAAGGAGTTGAAGTTGCTGGAACCTTGGGCGAGTGACCACCTCTTACTGGAATTCAATAAAATGCAAACACAAGCAATAGAATAAAATCCAACAAGCGTCTTAACCTTTAGAAGAGCTGATTTTAACAAATTCATAGCCTAAGCAAAATTTCATGGATAAAAATCCTTAGGAGAAAACAATGCAAGGAGTGTGGGAAATATTGGAAAATCTAGATATATATAAAAGCAAAATGCCACTCATGCATTATCACAAAATCTCCAGAACCTTAAAGCCTACAAACCTAAGTTTTCCACGTATGTTCCTCTTGGCTTCTAGGTGCTCACTAAGAAAGGATTTTTCGAAATGACCGTCAGAGTATTAGTATTTCCTATATTATTATTAACATGCTCTCATGCTAATGAGTTCTATTCCCCCTCCTAATCAGAAGAGAAATCTGTTCCAAATGCAAAACACAAGCAGAGCAGAGGAGATTCAGTTTCGGTTTTACTTTCACAGCAGGAAGCAGCTGTACTACAGGACAGTTGAGTTAACCAATAGCCAGGCTCCTTTCTGTCTCCTTGCTCACACAGCAAATACTGTTTCACTTTCAAACTAGCTCTCTGATGCTAAGGCAGCGGTTCTCCACCTGTGGGTCTCAGTCTCAGAATTACAGCCTCAGAGACTTTGTAATGGCAGGAATCTGTTCTCACACGCCTGGGCTTCTGCAGAAGCTGCCCTCCGAAGCTCTCCAAAGCCCTCCGAGGATACTGCCAGGTACTTTTAAGAGTGAGTGATTAAGTGAGTGAGACAGACAGACCAGGGCTGGGTTGCTCCCTCTTCTCTGGTTTGAATGCGAGCGGGGGGTTTAGTGGCCCGCCTTCTCTGCTAGTTCGGGCGGGTAGAGAAAGGAGGCATGCTCCCCTTCGCCCTTGGTGGCAGGTGCTCCTTTTCACAAGCCTCCTTTCTTTCTCTGCCTGCCCGAATGAGTGAAGGGGATGCTAGCCCCAAAGCGCCTGCTTGCCCACATTCAAACCAGCCTGCCCCCTCCTGTCTTTCGGCATGAGGGGGAGGGAGGTTCTTTCCAAAGTCTGGCTTCTTTCCTTCCCTCTTGCGGCTGGAAAGCAGATATTTTCACAGTGGCGGCAGAAACACAATCCTGGGAAGTCAGTTCCGGCTCTCCCTTCCCCAAGCATGTTCCGTTGCTGCTGGATCTGCATTTGCTGAATCCAGCGCGGTGGCGATGGCAAGAAGCGGCTGCCAGCGAAGCTCTCATGGCAAAACTCCCACCGCCGCACCGGATTCAGCAAAAGTAGCTCCAGCAACAACGGGACCAATAGGGGGTGGGAAATCCATGCAGAGGGAGGAAAACACCCCACCCCCACTTCCCCACCCCCTCCATTGGAAACGAGGCAACTGTCAAGAGAGAAGAGGGCAGCGTATGCCACTTGGGCTTGTGCAGCAGCCGAAGAACAGGAGGCGAGGTGACCACTGTGTGTGTGTGTGAGAGAGAGAGAGACAGACAGACAGACAGACAGAGAGGGGCACAGAGAGAGAGGAAGGGAGGGGAGAGACAGAGACACGCAGAGAGATAGAGATGGGGAGGGAGGAGAGAGAGAGAGAGAGATACAGAGAGAGAATTACAGAGAGAGGAAGGGAGGGGAGAGACAGAGACACACAGAGAGAGATAGAGAGGAAGGGAGAGAGACAGAGAAACACAGAGATGGAACAGGGAGGAGAGAGAGACAGAGATTCAGAGAGAGAATTACAGAGAGACAGAGAAAGAGGGAGGGAGGGGAGAGACAGAGACACACATAGAGACAGATGGGGAGGGAGGAGAGACAGAGATACACAGAATTACAGAGAGAAACAGAGAGAGGAAAGGAGAGGAGAGACAGACACACAAGAGAGACAGAGATGGGGGAGGGAGGAGAGAGAGATACAGAGAGAGAATTACAGAGAGAGAATTACAGAGAGGGCGGGAGAGAAGAGACAAAGAGCCACACATAGAGACAGACAGACAGACACAGAGAGACAGAAAGAGAGAGAAAGAGGAAGAAAGGAAGAATTGGTGGCTGTTTTGTTTTGTTTTTCTTTTTAAAAGGCATTCTTTCCACTTAGAGCCAGGAGCCTGCTCTTAAACTTCCCAGACAAAATTTCATTTATTTGTAATTAGAAATAAGTATTTCACAAAATATAATTACATATTTTTTGTCATTAATCTCTATGCTTTAATTATGTTCAATATATAACAATAAAAATCCTGCATATCAGATATTTACATTATGATTCATAACAGTAGCAAAATTACAGTTATAGAGTAGCAACAAAAATAATTTTATGCTTGGGGGGTCACCACAACATGAGAAACTGTATTAAAGGGTCACAGCATTAGGAAGGTTGAGAACCACTGTGCTAAGGAGTTCTACTCCCCCTCCCCACCTGAAAAGAAATCAATTCCAAGCTCTGATGCTAAGAAGTTCTACTCCCCCTCCCTACCTCAAAAGAGGAGTTTCACTTTCGCTTTCATAGCAGCAAGCAGCTTTACTACACAACAGTTGAGCTAAGCTATGTCCAGGCTCTTTCCTGTCTCCTTGCTCACACAGCAAATACTATTTGATTTTCCAAACACCCCTCAACTCTCTCACACACTGACAGGATGCTGGCCAGATGCATATCAATGGATGCTGATAGGTAGAAGCAGATTCCCCACCCTCTTGTTTTCCTCCTCAGTTCAGATGAATCTGTTCCTTCTACTGTTAACACCAGTTAAAGGGAAAAGAGGCAAAAACACACAGAAAAAGATTTACAGATGTGATTAAGAAAACACACAGGAAGATGCACAAGTATCGTCAAATTCATCCTCAAGTCAGTAGAAAGGCTGTAAAAAAGTATATATCTAATAAGCCCTATGTTAATCAGTCACAAATGAGATCAATGCCTTGGACTAATAAGTATTTCACTGGTTTTAAATATGAACCTCAGATTGATTACTCCAGGGACAAGGTTGTTGATCTCGGACCCTGCTTACCCTGTGCCTGGTGCGGTGTTCTATGTCAGGTTCCTGTTCGGTGAAGCAGAAATAAACAATAAGCCACACAATTCTCAGTTTTGTTTTATCTTCCAAGCTTCGTCACGATCCGAGAAACACCCAATGATAAGATATAGTGAGATGAAGTCAAGGCTGAAGCCCAGCGCTCCCCTCCACCATTTAAACCTTCCCGCGACTCCACCCACCACCCATGCATGCTCACAACGGTCGTAGTCAAGCCACAAGCCATGTTGGTTTGCTGTGTGCAGGCAGACGTGCTGTGTTTCGGATTGGCAGATTAAGAGTCCCGGGATCTGCTACAATGGTGGTGCACCTCTTTCCCCTTCAGCCATACCCGGAACTCTTAAACAGCCTTCTCACCCACCAGCATCCAATGGCAAAGCACTTTCTTTCTGCTGTCTGGAAGTACAACAGATGCTTCCAAATGACGTCTTTTGGAGTCAGAGAGGTGAAGGAGGGAAATTTTATGCCAACATTCAAAGTGCAGGGGCAGGTATACCACCAGATAGGGGTATCATGACGGGGCCTCAGCAGCAGCCTTCACTTCCCCAGATATACTTTGTGGGTGATGATGACAATGAGAGAGACATCCATTGTGGAATCTACTCAGGCGTTAATCCACAACTGGTTAGCCAACTGCAGAAGTAGCTGCGAGAACACAACAAGTATTTTCTGGATCTTAAGGGTGCTGTTGAGTCTGGTCCTAAGGGCCACAATGACTTCC